AAGCAATTCATTTTAAGTCTTACATAGTTTTCACGGAATTTCATTTTTATTAAAGAATATAAATACTTATTTTATTATTTCGAAGATATTCAATGTTAAAGATGAATTTATATCTATTTACTATTCACGAATAATAAATAAAAACTTCGTATATTCATTATTTTTTTATTTGTAATCACCTCTGCATTAGTGGGTCATTAAGTTATGTATTCAATCAATTTGATTTAAAAAAGTGGCCTATAAAAAATATTGGGCATGATCAACACAACCAATACGTCAAAATAAAGAGGTTACATGCCCTAAACGGTTTGAATTTTTTATAGGTCACCTTTTTTCTAGATTTTGTGATTAAATTATCTTGTGATTCAAGTGGACAGCAAATGGGTATTCATGACTTTTCTGTACTTCATTAAATTAATTCGTTTAATGAGAAAACGCTCCATTTCTGAAAATTCTCGTAGATTACGAAGTTGTAGGTTACGATCAAATGAAGCCATTCCTGAAGTTTTAGGTTGTTAATATGTATGTTAATAATTTGATAAAAAGGGTCTTTACAGCCGACTCATTTACGTATTGAAAGTAACCTAAATATACGGAGAACGTGTATTTATAGAAGGACATTCCTGGGGAAATTGTACGTCCTCCTTGGGAGCCATCTTCCCAGTTCACAAATAAATCCGTCACGAACTAGGTTCCGCAGCCGTGTGAGAGGTTTTCACCGTTAGCGGTCCCACTTCTCTCAAGTCTTTGCTCAATCACCTTCATACTACTTTGTAGGATTTATTTAAAAATAATAATATATATCTATAAATAATACAGGTGTATTATTATTACGGTACTATTCTATTATTGCCTATTTTCCTTGGAAATAATAGACATTTACACCGAAGGTCGACATTGAAAGGCTGTATTGCGTTTTCTGTTCGTTTTAGTTTAGCGTCGATACGTACGGTTTTATATTTCTTTCTGCTAGATTAATGTGTATAATTCTCCTATCAATCTACTTCTTATTATATTGATTATGAGACTTTTCTAATTATTACAATATTATTTTAAGTATTAATTTGAACATATTAAGGAACAGAATGTGAAACATTTATTGTAAATATTCATCTGTTTTTTTTTTCATTACTACAATGATTAATTACAAAAATAATTTATCGTTCTTTTCTAATTTCGTTTAGTTATTTTTTACTTCATTGTTTTTAGCAGCTATTTTGCAGTATTGAGAAATTATTGCACGTCTTTTTTCTTTTAATATATCTGTATAGCTATGTAAACACTTCTCTTATTACTTATGTTTTAGTTATTCTTCTATTTTAATATGTCTTTTGGCCAAATTTAATGTTAATTTTTATGAACAATACTGTTATTCTTTTGAGACTTTGTCCCAGAATAAAATTCTTCTAATTTTCCGAACTATACCATATTTCTTATGGAATTTAGACCCCAGATTAAAATTATTAGATTAAAATTATTTTTCATTTAATTTTATAACTCCTAGATCATGGAATTTTTGGAGATGTCAATTTTATATATACGTATATATTTTCCGTTACATTTCGACAACCCCGACGTTCCTATTTGTACCAAATTAGCTCAAATTCAGTATATATCTAGTCATAGATATTGTTTCAAGGGAATAGAGAGCAAAACAAAAAATAAATTGCTCGAAATGTCCCCCTTTTGCCTTGACACAGGCATTTAATCTCCGTGGCCAGTCTTCGATAGCAGCACGCAGCACTTCTTGAGGAAAGCGCTCAACTACTCGGACCAGAGATTGTTTGAGGTTTCCAAGTTAGAATGTGCTCTGTGGCATGCCATCTCTGGCTTGTTCTTTTGCAGCCACTGCTGAGTTGACCTGGTCTTGTGAGCTGGATCGGAATCCTGCTGGAAAACCCAATGACTTCCAGCAAACAGAGTTTCATTTAGAGGCTTTACATCAGGTTCCAAAATATCGTCCTGATAGTTTTTAGCGGCTGTTTTAACTACTTTTTTTTCACAAAAATGGAGCTTTGTGGTGCCATCAAAGCAAAAACCCACCAAACCATCACTGAGGGAGGGTGATGGATGACCTCTTTCCACTTTTCCAATGATTTCCTGAGCTTCTTTAGAACTGTGTGCGTACACAAGATCATTTCGGTGATTAAATTTGTCTTCAATTGTAAAAATTTTCTCATCGCGAAACAAAATCTTTCAAAGACTGCATTGGGGCAACGGCCAAGGAGCACTTTGCATCTATTCACTCTTATATTTTCAAGTTCAACTTTTGTAACAATATTTATGGCAGAACTAGGTAGATTTGTTTTCCAGGCACAACCATACCATTAAAGTCTTGGTATAGACCCTTTTCATCAAATTATTAACAATTACCTAAAGCCACTAGTGGATCCAGGATTTAATTTTGGGAGGGAGGCTTCAGCCCGAAAGCTTTTTTTCAAAAAACAACGATAATTACTTTGGAAAAAAAGAAAGGAACTAACTACCTATATGAAATGGTGTTTAAGTGATTCCTAAAGTCCTTTTAAATGTAATTACACGAACAATAATACTTTGAGAGATAATATTTTAATATTTTTTTCTATAAAACACGGTTAAATTTTACCATTTTGGGAAGGGGGGGAGGGGTTCAGCCCCAAAGCTCCTCCCGCCTAAAGCTTCGTCGTAAGTGGCTTCATTTTATCTTAATCTAAAACTTTTTTGCTAACGAACATTCGAAATGTAATAAGTGCTTCGACGTACTTAAATTTACAGCTCTAAGAAGAGATATTTGTTTGAAATTAAATAAACAATAAAATTACCTTTTCGTAAAAAAGGTAAGAATTAACGTTCTTGTCAGGATGTATTGAAACTACCTATTATCTAACAATCTACTTCATTAAAAAAGATTTTTCGCGATAACTCACTTTATAAGAAGTAGGATTATTCATAAACTCGAACCTATGCCCCATCCCACCTCAAAAAATAAATAAATAAAATAGGTTATTATCGAGTTTTTAAATAAATGTTTTGTTAAAATCTATTGCACAAAAGCCCCTAAAACGGTCCTCCAGTGCCTTTTATATCTTACTACAATGAAGACCGCTACTTTGTGACACCTTGCGAAATCTCCCCCCGTTCATCTAAAATGACACCGTTATCTCACTATTATATTTATGGCACCATTTAAAATATATTCATTACTAGTCTTGTATATATCATGTTTTAATTCATAATATCCTATTATCTCGATTACTTTTCGCTAAAGCTGAGTTCTTTATTTGAAAGCAGAGATTTTCGTTTTCCATGTGATTGTTTAAAAAACTCAGCTATACAAAATAATTTAAAAATGAGAAGCAAAGTCCAATAAATCTTTTCACACTCTTTTATGAATTTGTTTTATTTACCAACTCTCAAATATTCTAGATATATATAAGAAGAACATGTAAAAAAATGCTATATTGAGTAAAATATTTTTTTTAAAAATCTAGGTTAGTATTAAAGTACTGAAACTAGGTAATGTGTGCTTACTTGGATCCAAACCAATTAAAAGTTTAAACTAGTTAATTCTACTATTTTGTTAAGAAAATATAGATATAACTTACAATGTGTCAAAAATATAGTGCCATTAGCTATAAGTCCTGATACAGATCCTGAGACAAACTACTATGTTCCCATTATTTTTGGTTTGCATATAAATAATACCCCTTAATGTCTCGATTTATAGTTAAAACGTCACATGAGTTCCCTCGCTGAAATGAAGGTGGAAAATAAGTTGATGTGGTGAATGTATATGAGTGAAATACCGTTAAATTTGTACACTATTAATATGAATAGTCATTACTCATATTCACATTTTTTGTTAGTAAGGATCACAAGTTAAATGATGCCTCATGTCATTTGGGACCTAAGTGAATGGTTGCCTAGTGGCAGGTTGTGTCTAATTTTAATTGGAATCATCTGTGTTTATTGATGGATTGTCTGGATGGAATGTCACTTTCCTGCAAAAATTAAACATTATGAAGGGCTTCGGTTACTTTTATCTGTGAAAAAGATTTTTTAATTAACTCTTACCTAAAGGTATAAATGAGGTGAAGAGAAAATGTTAAAGGGGACTGTGACAAAATTTGAGGGTTAGTGTTTAAAAGCCTATGGGAAGGACTTTTGGTTTGAATCCTTCAAAATGGAAAATTAATTTTTTTTCATTGGTCCATATTTGTTTCTAGGAGAGATTTGAGTTGAATAGTTAAACAATCGCAAAATGTACCATTTTAAAATTATAATGCGTTTCAATGACTGAATGAAAACATTCTTGAACAAACAAATATTAAAAAATTATCTCTAAAAACATTATAGTTTTTATAATCACCATATATATTTTTTTTCAGACCTTCAAGGACTAATTAAATATTATTTTATATTGTTTCTTTGTTTCTTTTTTTCTTCCAGAGTAAATCCCGTTAATAAAATCTGTCAAAATGAAATCATAAATCCGCTAGTTATGTATATTATTGTTAACAATCCAACCTTGATACAACCTCATCTAAAGTTAAGAAGCATAATTCAATAAATCTATCGACACTCCTTCCTGGCTCAAATTTTTTAATATATATTTATTATGTTGTTATTGGTCCTTAATACGAGTAATGCGGCTGAGTGAGTGGTGCTGCGATCTCCTAGAGTCCTGCCTTTCATTCCATGAATGAGGGGAATGGCTTGGCTTCGAGATCTTGAGTGAATGAATTTTTTAAATATTATATAAAAGCATGTGTGTATTTAAATAGTTATTTTAATTAATTTAGTTTCTCTTAGTTGGTATACATTTACTTTTAGTATTGTTATTTTGCTGTTTATTTTTTTAAAATTTATTATACATAGTGTGAATTAGCTACTCTTCCATCACTAGTACTACTGTCGTTAGATGTGACAGATTGTAATATTTCTCAATAAAGAATTGAATATTTATTATGTATGTAAATATTTTTATTATTTATTTGCATCATTTTTGTTTATTTTTGCAGGGACTTAAGGCCAGCGAGCTTAGACAAGAGCCAAGAAGCTTGCAGACTCAGAGCATACGAAATATATGCTTGGGGCGGACCACTGATTATCGCTGGTATAGGCGCTCTGATGGACAGCTTACCCGAAAGTGCAGCCAACCCTTCTTTCCTCAGGCCCAAGTTTGGAGAGATGAGGTGTTGGTTTTACGGTATGTAAAATTGAATTCAATAATATTTAACAAGTTTTGAAATTTTAAAATAGATCTATTCTGAGGTAAAAATGAAAAACTCATTTTTTTTTTTTTTTGCTTTCCTGCATCTTTTGGTTTTATTACAAGAATTGTATTCCACATTAACTAGCAGATAGGCCCCAATACTCATAATACCACTGTGGGTAAATTATTTTAAACTGCCCTCCCCCTCTCCCAATCTTTTGTTAATTCAACCAATATAATAAAATTGTATAAATGTAGGATTACTTATTATTAGTTATAAATGCACACATGCAACTAAATACTAAAATTGTTATAAAACACAGACTATTTGTCATTTTTCTTATCTAATGAATCACCATCAAGCAAAAATAGTGAGACAATTCAAAAATGGTACTTTTATTAACATTTCAATTAAAATGGTTGTAAATTTGAAACCCTTTTAAATTTTTACTAATGCGTTTTTGGAATACAAAAGGTTCATATCAATAAAAATTTTATTTTTAAATATTTAATAGTTGACCGTTGCATTATTAAGGAAAGAGATGGTCTGGAGTGGCGGTCATAAATAGACTAAATATTATCAAAACTATTTTATTAAAAGCCAACGTTTCGACCCGACTTTGCAGGTCTTCTTCTTCATTACTAGAACGGACTTTGTATCTTGTTCGTTCTAGCCCTGAAGAAGACCTGTAAAGTCGGGTTTAAACGTTGGCTTTTAATAAAATAATTTTGCCACTATTTAGTCTATTTATGGCCGCCACCCCGAACCATCTCCTTCTTCAATTTTATTTTTATTAAAAAGTATCAATAAAAAGAAAAATAATGGTGAGCTGACCTATTTTTTTTTCTCTTTTATATCATAAAATACAATATAAATTCTGATTCATGTTTAATTCTATATGAGAAAATAAGTTTAATTAATTGATCAGGTTTAAATAAAAATTATAAATCTTGTTTATTTTTTCTTTAAAGGTGACACAGAGGTATTTGCCTACTTCTTCGCACCGATAGGTTTTCTTCTTTTAATGAATTTGACATTATTTGCTGCTACAGCGAGGGAACTTACATGCGGGCTCTGGAAAACTGAAGTTGTGAAGTCGAACACCGAACGGTAATTTTTATAATCAATATTTTATGGTGCACATTAAAAAAAAAAAGTTACTATGGCTAAATTAAGTAAGATTGAAATTGATAATAGTTAATATTCTAAAAATTATTGAGAGTAGTTTTTCTAAGCAGAATGAACCTGGTTTAAATAAAGTTTTGGCATACTTATTACTCATCAGAAAAATATTGGCTACGTGATGTGAATATGTCATGCAGTTGTAGAACAATGGAGTACTGTACCTGGTTAAGAATTAAACATTTATTTTAGTGCGCACAACAGGAAAGTTTTTTGTTAAATTTGATTTCTTATGAATTTAATTTTATTTATTTATAACAAAAACTCTATTTAACATTGTGCTCGGTATTTAATCATTGCTACCAATAGTGAATAAATTATTACCTATACATTTCGTATTACTATGTCTAATTTTTGTTATTACTCTCCATCACTTTTAAACATCAAATAGATAAATAAAAATAGAACTTGGAATAATTTATAATAAATAATACTTGATTAAGATATGGTAAATGATGATTGAAGAGTTTCCTATCAAAAATGGACATATCCATTTTCACTTTTGTTTGAAAATGACAGTAAAAACTGATTTTTCCAACATTTGGATATGTTCATTTTTTTTTAAACATATCCTTTCCATTCATTATTCAATAGGGAAAATATATTTGTTAAAGGAATGAAGCTAACATTAGAAAAAAAAAAAAACCTAATCAAATATCAGTTTTTGTTAAAGTGGAGTTGTCTATTACTGATGGGAAACTCCTCAACTGCTTTTGTATAACATTCAGTTAAATTTAAATTATTCAGCTAACTTCTGATTTAAAAAGATAATACAGAGTCAATTCCGGACACTTTAATACAATTAAATATTTTATAATCCTAATTTCTTTCCCTGATTTAAAAAAAAAAGTTCTATTCATATAAATGTTTGTATCTATTCAACAATATGAGTGTAATAAGAAAATTCTTGAAAAATAAAAAAACAATAACACACTAACTACTCTAGAAATTGCATAAGGTAATTAGACAAAATATAATTATGATGAGCCTAAATCTTATAACATTAAATTTTCATTTAAATTCTAATTCGAATGCCTGACTAAATTCTCACAACTTTAAAAGAGGTTTAACATAACTGCCTAATTCCGCTATTAATGGCCTTCTTTTTTGAATAATAGTAAATTTCAACTGAAAAACATCTTTAAAATATATTTTTTTCATATGGATAATTACTATAAAGAAATTTAAATGATGTTATTTATTATTTATAATTGTTATTTATTAGTATTATTATTTTAGTGATTTAAAATTAATAATAATAATATAATTAGAATTAATAATGACAAAATATTAAATGAACTTGAAGAGCTTTCGATGATCATGGATGTTATGCAACTTTTTAAAAAATATTCACCTGATCCTTTCACACTAATGTAAAATTTATGTTTCAGGGCAACACTTGGCCGAGTCTGCTTAAAACTTGTTGTTGTGATGGGAATCACGTGGGTAGCGGATGTTGTGTCTTGGGTAGTTGGAGGACCAGTCTATGTTTGGTATTTCACCGATCTTATCAACGCTATGCAAGGTGTCCTCATCTTCGCTGTTGTCGGTTGCCAGCCGCAGGTGTGGTCTGCTGTAAAAAGACTGTGGTGCCTGCGGGATCCTCCTGGTGATAATGCGAATGTACGATCATCATCATCTCAGGCCCCAGCATCCCTCGGCGACCAGTCTATCACCAAACCAGTTGAGACCCTTTGTTGAGTCTCTACTGTTGGACATTTATTTACAAGTTTTAATTTATTTTATATTAATTTAATATATTTTATTTTAAAAAATAAATAATCAGGGTTTTCTTTTAAAAATAAAAGAATCCTTTATTGATTTTTTTTACAAATACTTTAAATGACTTCGAAATTAGTCTGAAATAGTTCTATAACATTCAGATGGTATAAAAGTTGATATTTAACTTTGATATTAAATTGGGATTTTTCATGAATTTTTTTTTTAAATATTTTTTTACTTGTATATAACTATTTATATATGATACAGACTGAGCATTATTTTAGTTTTTGTACCTTTACCGGTCTATAAGTGTTGTTTTTTAGTTTTAGGACAGTATTATTGCTTTAAATATCTGTACATATATACATAAAAACACTTTTATGTTTTCCTGAATATTGTAAATTACTCCTTAATGTGCCAATATTAGATGTAGGTATGAAATGAGTATTGGTTCTGAAATGTTGTTCAGCTCAACCACAGTAGAAAATCCAACAAATTACAAAAACATAAGGAGTCATTTTACCCTTGTGTTGATAATAGTGATTACAAAATAAAATGAAATAAGAATTTGAGAAGGAAAACTGTGTAAAAATTATATGTACACAAGAGATTTTTTTATTTGAATTAATTTATTTGTTTATGTTATGCATAAGTAAAATTATTTAGAGCTTTGATTTGTAAATAAAGAAGTGTAAATGTATTATTGTGAAAATTATGTTAAGTTAAGAAAGCATTTATTATGTTATCTGTTTTGTTGTATGTATACTTCAGCACAATTATTTATTTGACTTTATTTTTAGAGGTATTCTCTGATAAATAGAATAAAAAAAGAATAACTTGACTCAGTATTAAATCTAAAATGTTACGAATTTCAACAGAAAAAAAATTATTTTTTAAATTATGACACAAATCTTTTATGGTGATGACTGAGGTTTTAAAATTTAATTTATGTTTGAAACTATGTTACTTAGTTTGGTTCCTTTATAGATATGTTTTCAATTTTAATTTTGCTTTCTATGTTGCAATCTTAACTACTAAAGACTGTCAGTAACTTCATTTATTATGTTTGTTTGTACATATGTATATCTATTTAGTTTTACTAATTTTTTTCCTTTGATATGTTCCTTACCTGATTGTTACCAAATAATGATCGGTGTTTAAAACACTGATTCGGAACAGCTCATTGCCAATGCACACACTACGGTCGATGGCGTCTAAACGGCCTCATTTCACTGATGATTGTAGGTGTGTTTCCCTCCAAAGATTTGTTTGTAATATGTTATTTTATTATGAAACTATAGTTCTTAGATTAAAAAAAAATGTTTAATTGTATTTTTAATATAACTTTGTAAAAATATGAAAGAAGAGTCAGTATTAAGTTTATAATAAATCTTTAAAATACCTTTCATTAGGTGTTTCATTTACCTTTCCTTTCTGAACTAAAATTACCAGTGCATTTCATCACAGACAAAGAATTAAATATTCTTGTGAAACTAAAAATGAGGTGTATCAGACACAAAACAAATTTTATCCGATTTACACAAATTCATCAATAACAGTCTTACAATATAATCCCAACCAACCCCTTAACTTAGTGTTTATAAATTCTTAGGGCTAATGAAACTAAATAAATATTTATGACAAATATTATTAATTAAGTTAGTATTTATAATGACTCATAAAAATTAATAATAATAATATTAATTAACAAACATTTTTGCAAAAATAAAATACTCTCCAATTTATTGGCCGGGTATAATTGAAGGGTAAAGTGAATAAAGGTGATTTCACAGTTCTGGTAAAATTAAATTTTTAAGTTTGACATTGCTACATTTTTAAAGAAGAAAACTACTATTCAATTTCCAACAGCTGTTTGAATGGTAGGAAAAAGATTCTGATTTTAATGGAAAAAAAATAAATAGAAAAATACCTGTTAATTCAGTCTCAATTTTATTTTATCATTACAAGGAGCTTTCAGTGTATTGTGCCATATTTATCTATTCTGATAAGGATCTATCCACTTGGGTGTCGTTCTTTGAAATTTTTTTTTTCTTTTCAATAATAGTGGTGGCATAATTTACAATAGATATACATACGCATGTACTCGTCTACGCAGACAATATCCACCTGGTAGCAAGGATGCTTTCTGTATTTATTAGGGTGATAAAAGAGTTGGAAGATGAGGCCAATAACAGAGGATTCCATATCACTAAGAGGAAAACGGACTTATGAGGATCGCACAAAACCCTCCACCGAGGACATAATCTATTAATATCAGTGATCATAGTGTTCCTGTTTTTGAGGCCTTCAAATACCTTGGTTCACACATCAGGCTAGAATAGCAGCAGGCAATCGTTGCTATTTTGGAGTTATTAAGGCATTAAGGTTCAAAGATCTCTCATAGAATAGCAAGATGATTATTTATAAAACCATTATACGCCCAATAGTCACCTATGGAAGTGAGACATAGATCCTGATGCAAGATATGGAAATATGACTAAGCTTGTGGGAACGAGACATTCTCAGAAAAATATACAAATGGAAAATCAGAAAAAACAATGTATTGAGAACATTATGTGACCAGCCTGATATTGTGACCATAATTAAAAAATCTGGTGCTCACAACGCACAACTTTCACTTAGCACTCAACTTTGAATAGAAATTATTTGCTGGTCATGTTGGGCTGTTATAAAAGCTTTGAATTTCATTTTTAATCGAGCTAAAGCTTAAAGCTAACAAATCATAAATATCATTAAAATAACAAAAAATCTATTTATTATATCACTGGTTGATTATGGATAGTACGACCATTAGCTGTAAAACTGTTATTTTCCACTGCAAAGTTTACTATAATGGAATTACGAGATTTGCATTATCTGTCATAGATAGGTCAGAAGTTGTCACACTAATTGTAAGTGGATACTATTGGGATATCATAAAAGGAAAATTCATAAAATTATTCACTAATTTATAATTGCGGGTTAATGGCTGACTGTCGTGAATAATGAGGAGAAGGATGGTTGGGGTGATCAGTCAGAAATATGAAGGGAAAAATAAATAATAATATTTATTTTAACATTTGCTGACGTTTCAACCTGAAGTTCAGGCCTTCATCAGGGCTCTTCCAAAAGCTGACTGGAATAGAGTGACTCTATTCTATGATAGAGTGACTCTATGACCGGAGTTTAATCAGAATCGTTAGAGCCATTTTTGAGAAAATTGTAAAAATGTGTATCACAGTTCATATAAAGTGCCACTTCTGGTTAGTCGATTTTAACGAAAAGGCTGCTGTAAAATCTAAGGCATATACCTATCTTAAATACCTAACATCAGCTTCTTACGAATTTTCGTTTTTGTACTAAACTGTTAACATACACATATACAGACCATTTTGTGGGACTTAGCTATTTGGACTCCAAACGGGTATTTCCGTTGAAATCCGAGATTCAAAAATTTTCACGATCACAATACTTTCCTTTACTGTATATTACATATATACGTAAGTGAAAGTAAAAAGGAAAGGTTGAGGTGGCTCAGTCATGTGAAGCATATGGAAAACCAGGAGGTGCCCGAAGATGTGACGTCCTAAGAAGAGGTGATTGGACAACATTGAGGCAAACCTACGGCAGCTAGGAGTTAAAAGATGAAGAGCTGTTGCTACCAGCAGACCAGCCTGGCATGATATCTATGAGAAGGCCCATGCCCTTGGAGGACAGTAGTGCCAATAATAATAATAATTATATAATTACTATTAACTATAATTACAGACCACACAGTAGTTAATAACAAACCGGACATTTTATTAATTGATCGGAAGAAACATAGTGGATATGTCATAGATATAGCGGTCCCAACTGATGATAATATTGGAGACTATTTCTGAAAAGATTAGGAAATATCAAGACTTGTGCAAGAGCTTCGGCAACTTTACAAACTGAATCAAGTCCAGGTATATCCAGTTGTAATTTCCAGCAATGGCCTCATCCCAGATTATACCATTCGCTCTGTCAAAAATTTGAAACTGACAGAGAAAGTGTTCAAAGAAGGGTAAAAAGCAGTTCTCCTAGGCACAGCGAACATCGTCAGGAAGTTCTTTAACATAGCTTAAATTTTGAGCCTAACCCTTGACCTTGGTCCATATAGGTAAATATTTCTGGCAAAAGCCAAGAAAGTGTGAAATTCGAAAATAATAATTATAATAAACAATCTCCTACAATAGGCCAGATATTTTTACAATAGAACAATGTAAGCAATCTACATTCATCAAAGAGATTGGGGTTCCTTCTGATGAAAACTTACGGAAGGTAGTAGCAGAAAAGAAGAAAAAATAAATAGAATTGGTTGAAGAGAGAAAATAACTGTTTCGCTTAAAGGAAAGCCTAATTCCAACAATTATGATCACATGTAATATACTAATACCAGAGGAAACCCAGACTTCTTTGCTGAAACTAGAAATGTCATTAAAGACAATAGAAAGAATGCAACAGGCAGTGTTGTTGGGATCTGCAAATATTATCAGGAAGTTCACAAATATCAAAGAATTTAAAAAATATATAATTGTAATATTTGGATGACCAAATTGGACCCCAAATATTATGAACAATAGATACCATTGTATGTGAGAGACAAACAAATAAATAATGGTAATAATAATGATAGGTGGAAACTTCAGGGAGGGGACAAAAATATTGTTTTGCTCCCTGAATAATTTGAGGTGAAAAAAAAATGAAAATTAATAATAAATAAGCTACATGAATGAATAAAATGTAGAAATAAAATTGATTAAGAAAATTCGACTTTCTGGCTAGGCTAGTACCTAATAGAAGGTATGACATGATTTTATTGATACCTAAATGTTACTTTTATTTAACTTGCCATTTATATTCAAAGATAATAATATACAAGGTGTTAAGTAAGTGGAGGGAAATATTTTAACAGGTAACAGTAGACCTCTAGAGGTATAAAAAAGTTCAATATACAATGGTTCAATTTTTGGCAGAATAGTGGGAAATTTAAGTGTTGTGGTTTTTAAAGTGTCATGGTTTTTGATAAATAGGAAGTTATGGCTAAAATATTAGAAAATATAATTCATAAAAAATTTCTTCACTGCAAACTAGATAAAATTTACTTCAAACGAAAGTAGCGTTTATTATTGTTAAAAACATTAAGAATAAACTTGACGTTAATTATCGAGTAATTCATGATTTTTGTTTTTACAACAGAACTTAACTTAGTTTACCTGCTCAAAAGTCCTTTCTAAATAGTTTTAACAATGAAAAATTCTACTTTCATTTGAAGTAAATTTTGTCTAGTTTACAGTGAATACATTTTTGTTTTATTTATATATTTTTGTTGTTTTTCTCACAACTTGTTGAGAAACTACCCACTGGTAGCACTCTAAAAATGTATTTACAACAGATCTCGAGGCCATCTTTTTTTCAGATACCTCAGAAGAAATCAATTTTAATTACTTATATTCAATAATGTTTTAGCCATCGCTTCCAATTCACCAAAATCCATAACAATTTAAAATATACAAAACTTAATTTTCTAGTCATATCTTTTAGATTATCACTATCACAATCTCTCCTCCTCCCCCCTGTGTTTAATCTGTATAAGTACGTTATATATTCAATAGTATTTTTTTTTAATAGTGTAGAGATGGGTGGCCGTGATTATAATATGAGAATGAGTTGATCAGGGAGTGCGGTCAAGTAAATAATAATAATAAAAGGTTTAGCGAACCCGAAGGTTCAATGCCGACACCACCAATCGCTTATTATACACCTCCCACCACCGTTCGCCGTCCAACCCCTTCAGATCGGTTTTAATGCAATCTTTCCACCTTTGCTTCGGTCTACCATTCGATACTGCAAATATTAACCTTTTAGGGATTCAGTAAGTACTATATACGGCCAAGACCATAAATACTATAGGTGGTCAAGTAATTACTATCTACTAAAACAGTATTTTATTGACATATTTAATAGTATTTACTTAACCACACCCCCTGACCAACTCCTCGTTTTTTTTTTAGGTATTTTCAAGTATATATAATAAGTAATACAAACAAAATAAATAAATACAAATCCTTAGAACTACACAAACGTATAAACAAATAAATTTTAAATATTCAATATTATCATATAAGAAAACAAATTGTTCATTTCACAACTATGTTGAATTTTTAAACAAAATAAAAACAACCACAATTTTTTTTTTTTTTTTAGTCCATCGCCCCTCCCCCCCAATCAAAATCGTAAATATGCGCCTATGATAATAATCATTCATTCATTGAATTATATTGGAGGAGAGAGGACCTTTTCCATCCTTATCAGGTCATGAGACAGGCATTAAAAAAAAAAAAACTGTTTACTTTTTGTACAATACTCTTTCTTTGAATTTATTTCTACCTTTTAAGATACAGCAGGGGTCTCCAAATTTTCTGGCCAATGGGATACTAATTCCAAAGGGTTACGGATAAAAATTATCGATACATCCATGTTTCAGCACTAAAGGTCAAATACATCGGTATAAAAACAGGTGTTTTTGACTTATTCCTTCTAATATTAAGTTAGGAACTTATTAAAATTGATTTTTAAACATTGAAACATCAACAATTTTTATTTTGGCCCAACCAGCAATCTTTTTTTTTTTAAATCTAACAAATTTTATATCAGACCTGAGTTCAAAATTCTTTAAAAACATAAAATACTATTACTATACTATATAAAATACGCAGTCTAAATACTGTTAGCAAGAGGTTTGAATGTCATTACAAGAGTATATGTTATTTTAAGTAAAACGAACCTTATAAATCATTTCTGATGTAAAAAATAAAATACCAGACGGCTGAGATTCAAAACAGAAGTAATGTTGTAAAAAATTGAGTAGTAGTAACCTTATGACTTACTAAGTTTCACATTTTATAATTAATTTTAAAATTTGACCAAAGAATCTTTTGCAGGCTGGATCTGGCCTGTGTAGTGAAGTTTAGAGGCCTCCGAGATAGGTGATCCCTTTGCGAATTAAAATACATTATTCTATATCCTCTGTTCTTTCGTAAAAGTTTTAATTTTTTATTGTGGAAAATTTCAAGATTCTTGGCTTAAATGAATAGCCTAGAAATGTATTTTTTTTTAAGCTTTTACTTACTGAAACTGTTCAAGTCTTTAATAATAAAGACATTATAAAATACGCAGCTAGTTTTTTCTCCAATATCATTCTCTCGGGTAAGACCAATATTTTTGACTCGGTTTTTCAAATCGTCCCCTCTATAAATTTTTTCGGCAAACTCCTACTTAATTTTTTTAAAAATTAAATTAAATATCTTTAATTTTTCTTTTGTTGTAATTTTGTTTTTTCAAATTAAGAGACCTAAACTGTTTGAAGCATATTGGGGCTTTTAAATTAAATGTGATGAGAAGAGAAGGGACATCTATGAAAACAGCTGAGAGACAAAGAAAACAAAATGTTAACTATTCAAAAATGTAAACTACCATTTAACGCTTCAGAATAAATGGATTATAATACCATAATAACTACACAGAGAAAGTGATCTGTTGATATGATATGACAGTGTAGTGACTCAATTAGGTTTTAGTTCATAAAGCAGTTGACTTCTTCCATTGGTTTTTTTGATTATATACATATTATTTATATTAAAATAGTTAAAAATGTTATCGTAATAAAGTTTTCTTAATTTTCACATTTTGCAAGAGTGTGTTTGAGAGAGGTTAGTATGACTTTCAGTGACTGAAATTTGTATGGTCATGTCTGTTGGAAGTGCATCCATTGCAAAGGGGTGCCTCATTAATAGAAGTACCACTGTTGCTCTATTAGAGTTGAGAGTGAAATATGATATGAAGAACTAGAGACAATAAGATTAAAATCCTTTTAATTTTTCTTTCTGATTTATTGTATTTTTTAAATTATAATTTATACTTATTTTAATTAAAACTTTATAATGTTTTAGTTTTTTCTTTCCGAAAAATAAAATTAGTTCAGCAATATTGAATCGTTCATGTTAATCATTTCAACTTTTTAATCAAAATGTCTTCAGTCTACCCAATCAATATTCACTACTTTCTATGTAGGTTATTCACTTTTTTCATACTGTTGACTTAAAATTACGTTTATTGTGGCACTGTAATCATGTGTGAAATCATTCTATAGTATAAATTTGTAAACAAACTTATATTCTAAAAACTTACATTCACTTTTAACCAACAGCAGAAATAAGGGTTATAGTAAATCTAGTGTTTAAGCTTTTAAAAAAACAAACAATAGATTAGTCTTAAAACAGTCTAATTGGTTTTATTATATTACTTATTAAAAAAAAAAAAAACTTAACATAATAATTTATTTTAAAACTCCATTAAACATTAAACTCTGGAACATTCTGGTGCAAGTTCAACCAATAACTTTTCGATTTCTTGAAAAATCTTAGGCATGATAAATATAAACTGAAAAAGAAATATTAATCAGAAAAAATTAAGAATGTGTATGGGTACTTTTAATAAATCACATTTCTGATTGATTGTTAAGATAGCTACCATAATTAATTTATTACTAATGAAAAATTAAGTCATAAAACAGATATCTGTCAAACAAACCACAATTAGTAGATATTTACTTAAAATTATTAAGCATCTTTCTATAAAACGAACTGTGATCTATATTTAAAAATTAAAACAATCAAAATAAAATTTTACATCCACTTGAGATTTTTTTTTTAATGATGATATTCTTTACCCTGAGCATGATCAATTGCAGGTACAGTTTGAACAGAGAAACACACGTTTATGTGAAAATAAACCATATGTAATATAAGTAATTTACACACAATAATAAAATGAAAAACAAAACATTAATAGAAAACTTAGATCTATTAAACAAAAAGAACTGGTCAGGTCACTTAATGGAATCGTCACATAACACTAAGTATCACATACTTCTACTTATTATAATGAACACAATAGAAAATAATATTATCTAGCATTAATTAACAAAAGTTAATCTAAACAAATATTTGTAAGTGACTTAAGATATGTGTTGAGCAACTTTAGAGTGACTTTTGATGTAGTAAAGGAGCCGCAGAATTGTAGATGGCGTTACACCGGGAATTCGGCTAGCAGCAGCAATCTAAAGAGAAAAAAAAAATTAAATCAAGCTATTAAATTTATAAATCTAGATGAAATTAACTGAAAAATTGGTAATTATTGATTACTCTGTCTCTTAGTTTTCTTTTTGCTTGATTAAATTTGTGAAAATTCAATCTCCAAATTTTAAAAATTAAAGTTAAACAAAATAATATTAAATTAAAAAAACAAATCACATAATCAACTAATCAGCATGGGTTGAAAAAAAGTCCAAAAACAAAAAATGTAATTATCGCAAATAATAATAATAATAGGCTTAGCGAATTATAGTAATTAAAGAGTACAGAAGAACTTCATAAGCTTGATAAGAACTTCATCACCACTATGGTCATATTAACAATCAAGAAAATAAAAATATGTCCATAAAACGTATTTATTTTTATTAAAATCATCAAAGCAACTGTCTTTTAATTGACAACATTAGGACTTTACAGAAAATAAACAATGATTAAGATTAACAAAATAAATTAGGAATGGTATATTAGAAATTAAAATATAACGATGTCAATGAATAATATAATGAAAGGATGAATATATCATTATACTCACAGTTTGTGGCTGTGCTGTAATCAATTTTTCTTGTTCTTCAGAAGAAATACTCAATTTAGACCTGCAGGATAAAAAAAAATCATATTATTCAGAGTATCAAAATATTTCATATTTTATATTTAACTATTTTGTATATCAAAGATTAATTTGAAAGTGTTAATTATTTCAAATTAAAAAAATTAAAGGTACTTTAGAGGAAGCTAATATTGAAAATTAGTCATTTAAGCCCTCTTAGAGGACATCAATGAGAAAAAAATCTACATTATATTAAAAACTGCTAAATAATACACTGATATACTGAATTTAATGAAATTCGTTAGAGCAGTTTTTGAGAAAATCGTAAAAATATGATAAATCGATTATATGAAAACCACAAATATACAATTTCAGTTTCGTACGACTTTTCATTTTTGAGCCAAGCTGTTCACATACGTACATACACACACACAGACCATTTTGCGGGACTTGGTTATTTGGAGTCAGGGGACGTCAAAACGTGTATTTCCGCTGAGAACTCAGGTTCAAAAATTTTCACGATTACAATGCTTACCCTTACTATCTATTACATACATAAGTAAGTGAAGTAAAAAAGTCTTAGGCTTTGTAGATATGGTTGTAAAAATATGACAAGACTTCTTTCCAGTGTAACTAGTATAATTCTTGTTTTCATTTCGGACTGTACCTTGGGTATTTTATAATCAAGTATTCTCAACTTTTACATTATAACATAAATATACTAGAGTATGTTATGGTTTGTTAATCCCTTATCACTTCGTAGGCAAAAAACTTAGATTTATGCAAACAGAATGTAGTATTGAAAATAAAACTAATGGTCTATGATATAGAACCGTTTTACGAAATTATTAACATCCGTCTGAAACTTCGTAAATAACTTCATCCTGTCGCAACCTAAAAATATTTTATTTGCCTAAATTCTAGGAATTGGGGCGTTTTCAATCTGGAAATCAGCGAACTTTGTCAATTTAATTTGTTACTAAAATCTCATAAATACCCATTTGCTTTCCACTTGAATTGTAAGATAATATAATTACAAAAATGGAAAAAAAAAGGTAACTTACAAAAATATTGTATAATGTTTAGCCTATATAACCTCATTATCTTGACATTTTGGGGGTCGAGGACACATAAAACAGCCCAATATTTTGGTATGCCACTTTTTTTTTTTTTTCTTTTTTGTGATCATATTATCTTATGATTCAAGTGGAAAGCAAATGGGTATTAATGAGTTTTTAGTACCTAATGAAATAGACAAAGTTGCCGATCACCAGATTAAAAATGCCCCAATTCCGAGAATTTTAGCAAATAAAATATTTGTAGATTACGATAAGATAAAGTTATTTAAGAAGTTTCAATCGAATGGTAATAATTTGATAAAAATGGGTCTGCACCACTGACTATAAGCAGAAAGAAAACGTTTGTTTAAGAGAAAAAAAAAATTGTTTATATAATTATCACGTATATTTATGGGCATTAAACTTTGTTTAATACGGACTTTTGATAAACTATATTTTAACTGTTGGTGATCTTTTTTTAAAAATATTTTTTATTATGAAATTGCTTATGTCACAAAACATAGAGAACATCAATAACAGTTTAAGGCAGGAGATTATTATTATAATTACTATATTTAAAAGCAGTGTTTAATGAAGATTGTCATCAATTTATATTTATATTATCATGCTCGCAACTGACAATATGTTATATACTTAATCAATCTGTTACACAATGTTTGATATTAAACGATATATATATTTGTATTTTCTCTATTTATACATAAATTCTATTTATTTCTTAAAAAATTGTTCAATTATTTAAAAGGTTTGGAATAATGATTCCAAAGAACTATTTATTTGAAATATTTATAAACGTCCGAGATACAGGCTTATGAAACCTCTAATTGGGTTTATTTTGAAAGAGCACATAATAATGTTGAATTACTAGGTTCACTCCAGGGTGAGCTGTGCTTTTGGTACCAAATTTAAACTAAAAACTATCCAGTAATCTCGGAAGAAGCCTTGAACAGATATTAAAAAAAAAAAAAAATTATTTATGAAATCTAAAACTTCAAATTATATGTGGTTGGTTTAATTTTTTTTTTGTTTGAATATAAAGGTTCAAGATAATAAAAAAATATAAGATCAAAATAAAGATGAATAATAGTGATTAATATAATAACACATTACTTGAGTGAAGTAAGTGAAAAAATAAAATAAATATTTCTTACGAAGTATAGTCTACTTCTGGGGGAATAATCATTGACTCTTCCTTCTTAATTTGCGAAACTTGTTCTTTTTGCATGTCTATAGCTGTTTGGTACAGTGCTTCTATTTTAATCCTAATGCAAAGGTCTTCATCTGTTGCCAAATGTCCAAATATTTCCGGTAGAGAGTCCGTCAACATTTGAACAGTAATATTGTCATTTGCTAGCGAAAGCATATCACTAGCTCTGAAAAAAAATAAATAATATAAATTGATAACAATTAATACCTAGCTTGGAATTCTTACAAATAAAATAATACTTTATATATTAAACTCATAGAAGAGGAATCAAAACTAAAGCTTCACTCAACAGTATTTGTTTAAAAGTTATAAAATTTAAATAAATTCATTAAGCAAGAATTTTTTGTTAATGAATTACTTATAACTTACGTTTTTCTTTCTGTATTAGAAGTTGAAGGCAAATGGAGAATTTCTCTCCATTTTTGAGTAGAAAAGCTAACAGAATCGAACAGCTCAAAAGCATTTTCAAGATCTTTCTTCATTTTCATCGTCTTCTCGTAACGTTGACTTGATACGCAACCAACATGATAACCTAAAAATATAAATAAAAGATGTATTATAGATCTTAACATAAGAGAAGTATATACAATGGATAAGTGATCCATCATTTTAACACTTTCGCTTTATTAGATTTTTGTAATAGGTAAATACTCTTTAAATAATTTTCAAATAATACAGAAATACATCGAAAGATTTAAAAAAAATAAATATTGTTAATTACAAAGCAATCTATTAGGATTTGAAGAATTGCTAACTATAATAACACAAGTCTGCTATTTCATAACTGTCAAATTTAATAACTGTGCACCAGATTTCTAACTTTTGTTTTTTCCTCAATTATAATAAGGCAGAAAAGTCTGAAATTTATGCCTTATCTTGTACCGAAAGAGAGAAAAAGCTTCTTGTTTATGCAGGATTAATTTTCCGAGTGTTTTAGTAATTTATTTAAATTTTTGTTGTGTAAAACAGTGAAGCAAATTTTATGTAAATTCATTGAAACCCCGAGAATCAAAAACAAGTACAATTCAAAACTGTTTATCAAAGAGAAGAACCACTAAAACATAATATGTTTATAAGTGAAAAAGTAATGTATAAAAAAAGTTTATTCAATATAAACCCTGACCTAATTAAATCAAAATTACATTATATGATTACTAATTTTTACAAAAAAAATCAAGAACTTAAACAAGATCTTAATACTTCCAGAAGAAGTAACATAATAATAAAAGTTTGACATGTTGTCTAACTGAGAATAAAGTGTGGAAAAGAAAAATTAGAAATTAGATTTCTCTTCATTTCCAACAGTCATTTTGATCTTAGGCTACTACTTGGGGGCCACATACAGCAACATGAAACATTTGACATTATCATTATTAGAATAATGTTATCCCATCAGGATCAATGAATCCTGCTTCGACAATAAAATGATAAAATTATCTCTAGCATTTCGACAGCCACACAGCAAGACCCAGTAAGGACAATTTCTTTGGAAAATGAGGTATTGCGTTTTTCTAGCCAATCTTGTCCTGGCGAATATTCTGATCCCACAAAATGAAATCTACAATGTTTCATTTCTTCTCTATGGCATTTTGTAAAAACCTATAACTTAAAAAACAGCAAATTGTGATGTGAAAAACTATAAGTTACAGTGAAGGTTATACAGAGTATGTCGTATCCGAAAAAGCATAATGAAATGCGCAAAGAAAGGTAATTATGTAAATGCATAAAGCATTTTGCACAAAGACTACAGAATCAATTAGCTTTATTAATAGTCTAAAATTAATTTTTCTTGTATACTTAGCATTCTTTTTTAAATTTCTAATAAGTGGCGGGCACTTCCAACCTTTCCAACCTGAGGGTATCTGAGTAAATGCCCAGGTTCCCCTGCCCTGAGGTCAGCTCATCACGGAACTAGACAAAGCAAAGAAGATAGTAGTAGGTGGGAATATAACATCGAACAACTTTCAAAACAATAGAGACCTACTGGCAACTGCAAAATCAGCTTCACAGGAAAGAAGATACAATGCTGCCGAATTTAAGATAGTGAAAGACAGAGAATTGATTTCGTCAATTGAAAAATTTACCACAAGATAAAAAAAGAACTAGTTTCATCTTTTCAAACCAGTGGATCTTCGAAATCGTAAGAAGCTCAGAAACAAAGTGATCTATACATCAGTAGGTTACCTAGAACTTACCAAAGTTGAGTACGTTAAAAAAGAAACTTTCATAGACTACTCCAAGGAATTAGAGCTGTTTGAAGGAATTTATGGATAAGGATTGCCGTATGGTAATAGGTAAACAATTCCAGAAGGAGGAAGCATAAATGACGAAGGATTTGCGGAATGATGTACTATTATGAGAAGGGATATATAAATCAATAGGTTTGGATCTGTTGTTTGGAGAGTGGATAGAGGAGTGTAGAATGAAGAGTTCCATGGTATAGGAAATTTTTGGTTCTTAGGACCTGGAAAAGGAAAACATCACGAAGAAATTGTCCTCGGGTAGTAGGATAGAGCCGCTTCAACTCGGTATACCAGTAGAAAACATGAAAGATGAATCTTATAAAACAGTTCATAAATCTCTTCTATTTTGCCTCCATTCTTTCAGACAGCCCTCCATACACCAAGCAACCGTAGTCGAAGTGGGGGAAAACGAGGGAGGTTCTGGAGGCGCATGTACTCCATTCGAGCCACCCCCACAGTGGGAGACAAAAAAGTGAATAACCCATGTGATCAAATACTCACATTTCAGACAAATGTTTTACAAATTTTCATTTTTGAAGTATCATTTCTCTACATTCTGGCAACTGACTTTGTTCCTGTCATGATTTGATTATTATTGACAAAGTTAAGGGTGTTACTACAATAAATTTGATTGATTTTACCTAAATAATACCTGTTTTTAAAAGTAACTAAAAAAGCTAGAAGTAATGGTTCTAAAAGATTATTTGGCAGAAATATGATTAAAAAAGGTTACACAGATCATTAATTTTTGTATTAGGCCTGTAAAAATAAACTAAATAGAACCAAAATCACAGTTTTTTTCATCCCCAGAAAATTTTTAGTTTTTGTTCTTATAGGCTTTTGCAGTGTGGCAGTTGATTTCTAAATTCAATATGGCCCATGTTAACACCACAGGGTTACTTAATTTTATTTTTACAGTTAAAAACGCCACAGCGTTAATTCATTTTATTTTACACTTAACTAGTTTGATTAATTTTTGATTTGTTTTATTTTAGCAAAGTGAAATCAATTAATAATATGTATATTTATGTATAAGATAGGTGTATATTAAGTATTATAGGCCCATATCTAATATTGTTTATATTAAATAGATCAATAGTTTATACTTGGACTACTTAGTTATGGATAGTAGCACTAGCTATAAACAAGTGCTAGGTTCAAGTCATAAGGCGGTAGAATTGACAATAGACAGTCTGACTCCGTCTGTCACTGAGCTGAGTACTGCCAACTTCAACACTGCCCACTGCAGTTCTACTGTGAAGAGATGTACTTCTCTCGTCGTGCTCGCCGCTGCCCATTTGCAGTTCGTTTTGAGCACGCTCATTGAAGAGTTACAATTGGTTTCTGCATAGAGACAGAGGTTTACGAACGTCCTGCTCGACCACGTAACGTTGTACAATCTAATTATTTGCTATATATATATAAATATATAAATTTCATATTGGGACTCTAGAGAAGTTGTCTTTTTTATTTTATTTTTATTGTAATTTGGGCCATAGAAATAGTTTTTATTTATGATCAAGCATGAAAATATTTCATTAATATTGTCACAATTGTTTGTTCAGCTGGTCTTTATTTTATGCTAGAAGTTTGTTATTTTTTTTACCTATCTAACAAGTGTTAAATTGATTCATTTTGTTTTTATGTTTTCAATATTAGATTTCGTAAATGTTCCAAAATAAATGTTTGAAGATACAGTCCACTTTATTTCTTTTTTTTTCTTTTATTAAATCACAATTAAATAGTTAGGCTTCATTCGAAGTTTGACATAAACTAAGAGGGAGCTAACAGCCCAGTTTATTTTGCCATTTGTTAATCTAATAACAAAAATAATAGAAATGTGATGAATATTTAAAACTGAATACCTTTTGAAGTAAGCCTCAGGTCCGCATTGTCAGGACGTAACATAAGCCTGAACTCTGCCCTGCTTGTAAACATCCTATAAGGCTCGGACGTTCCCAATGTGGTGAGGTCGTCAACTAGCACACCAATATATCCCTCCGTCCTTCCAATGCTCATGCCTGGCCAACCTTGAGACTGTAATAACATTTCATTACATTAATTTATGTCAGGACATTATAGGAAGATTACAATAAAATTATAAAGCCTTAGGCCTACCAAATAAAAGTAAATAACTAAAAAGTCAACATTTCTCAAAGTTAACGATCACCAGAATCAAAAAGATAAGGATTTGTAAAATATTGAGCTGATTGTTATTTATTAGTATTCGAGAAACTTCCGATTATCTCAATGAAAATTTCAAAGAGGTTATTAATATTGTTTTGTTTTTTTCACTTTAAATCTTGGTTTAAATATCAAGGCGATTATTGTAAAATCATTCATCAAATCATCTTTTGTGTTCTAATCACAGCTTAGTTTCTATTTATAGATTTTTAATCTCATAGAGCATGGTTTATTGCCAAGAGAGAAACTGTTCACAGTTAGTTGCCAATGTAAGTAAGCTATGAATTTGGCCTGTATCCATGAATATTTAACATTCTCATCTTCAATTATTTGCACTGCGAAAAATGTTGGCCCATGAAATGGCTACATGAAAACATTTGGCATCGCTCAGATGAATGAGCATATGCAAATCCCTTTCAATTAGGCAAGGAAACAGTTGTAGCATTAAGAAAAATGAAATGCCAAAAAGGTTGAAGTCATGAGAGAGTAGCACAATATTAAATTCCAAGTAGGATTAGTATCATGTAACATTATCATTGCAACATTATGAATTTATTTATTATAAAAACAAATCCAGATATCGAGTTTTATATATAGTATACAAATAATAACCCATAATCAAAGGAAACAAGTAATCACTTGTTTCCCAAGTGATCAATGATTTTTTATAACAAAATGTGCTATTATAATGTGGAAATAATCGCTATTACAAAATTTGCATAGGTTGAGTTGAAAATGTAAGTTATACGGGTTAATATTTGAAAATTTTGAGTTATAGAGCTAAGTCTATATTTTACATATTGTGCTTTTGATTGAACAAGGTTACATGACAGTGATAATACTGTCTGAGATACAGACCACTTTTTAACAAATTATTAACATACGCACGCCTGAAACTTCGTAAATAGTTTCATCTAATTTATATGCGATAATTCTTGGAATTGGGGCGTTTTTAATCTGGAGAGGGGCAAACTTTGTCTATTTAATTAGGTACTAAAAACTCGTAAATATCTTTCAAATACCTTTCTAATTGGATCGTAAGATAATTTGATCACAAAATCGATAAAACAGGTGACCTAAAAAAATATTGGGCCGTTTGAACTATATAACCTCGTTAGTTTGAAAATTTGGAAGAGGAGTGTAGATCATGCCAAACAGCTCAATATTTTTATCTATTTTGTGATCAAATTATCTTATGATCCAAGTAAAAAGCAAATAGGTATTTACGAGTTTTTAGTACCAAATTAAATAGACAAAGTTTGCCCCCCTCCATATTGAAAACGCCCTAATTCCAAGAATTTTCGTAAATAAAATACCATGGACTAATATTCTTGCCTTAATCTAATACTCAGATTAGTAGAGAAAAATAGTTAGAAAATGTAAACGCACTTAAACTACATTGGAGTTATCTTCTTGTTTAATCATTTTAATTAACAAAATTTACACAAGAATTCAGGAAAATTACTTAATATTATTTAAAATTAAAAAAGAGAGGGAAATAACTAACATAATCTACAACAAGAAATAAATAAAATAAGTTAATATTTATTTCTTGCAAGAGAATAAAATTGAAAACCATATTCTTACTGCTAATGCTGCATTTATTCCAGCCAAAATTCCTTGAGCAGCTGCTTCTTCATATCCAGTTGTGCCATTAATTTGGCCAGCCAAGAATAAACCAGAAATTTTCTTTGTTTCGAGGTAAGGAGTTAATTCACGTGGGTCTACGTAGTCGTACTCCACTCCATACCCTATTAAATGACCAAATTTAATAAGAACAATGATTCGCAACCTTGAGTAGGTAACAAAATATTGATATAAATACCTGGTCTAAGAACAGTGGCACTTTCTAGCCCTTGTATTTTATGAACTAGCTTCACCTGCAATTCTTCTGGAAGTGTACAAGAGAGACCATTGGGATAAACAACATCTGATTCCAAACCTTCAGGTTCAAGCCATATCGTATGGAACTTGTCACCAAACCTGTTTTTAAAATAATTTTTTTTATCACTATGCATAATAAAAACTTGCATCGATCACTACTTTTACTTAGTTAAAACAAATTTACCTTAGTACTTTGGATTCGATAGAAGGGCAATACCTAGGGCCATTTATTTCTTCTGTTACATGTCGGTTCCGATGCATGTTGTTCAATATAATCGAATTGACTTTCGGGTTGGTATAAGTAAGGTAACAAAGTTTCTGATCCTCTGGCTAAAACAAATTAATCATATGCAACACTTTTATACTAACAATTTTATTAAACATTATTAACAACTTATTACCTGTATCCACACTTTCTGATTCATAAAGGAAAACGGCATGGGCTTCGGATCTCCTTGTTGAGGTATGCATACGTTATAATTTATAGTTCTTCCATCCAATCTTGGAGGGGTACCTGCAAAAAATTAATATCTGTCAAATAATAAATCAATAAAGACGGGTTAACAATATAAAAATAGAAATAGCATATTTAAAATTATATAAAACCTAAGTTTGTACATTCTGAGGTATACATGGATGAAAAAACATTATACTACCCATTTAAAAAGAATAAAATGTATAGAGTTCAAAATCACCATCGGTCAGTATTTTGGGGCCATTAAAATACCGATGCTGCTCATTAGAAAGTGTCCTAATGATAACTAATTAATTCATCATTTATAAATGAAGTTAAAAAATAAAATGCTGGATGTAGTGGATGTTCCCTTAATGTCGTAGATTTTTAATTTGATAAAAAAATGTTGTTGAAACAATTAGTAATTATAAACTATTGAACCATAAATGTTGCTTGAAGGAGTTAGAAATAAACAAAAATTCTTTAGGGCTATTTCATTTTTTATAAAGATTATTTCATTTTTCAATAAAATAAAGCAATTATGAAATTGTAAGATTAACTTTAGGAGTAATTCAAATTTCAAATTTTTCCATATTATTACTCGATTATTGAAAGATAAACAATATAAATGACTAAGTGAAATTTTCCTCATAATTTACATTTTTTAAAGGCTGATTTGAAGTTATGCTTTCTTGAAAATCTATTAGCTTTAACTAAAAAAAAAGTTTAATAATTTCTTCAAAATGAATTACCAATTCTTGCATAGTGAACTACCCATTCACTGGACAATAACTATATAATTGTGAACTGATATATTTTTTCTATTTTGTTTTAGTTGATCTCTGTTAGAACGAAAACTCATATAAGCGATGTTGAACTGCAATTAACTGATGATTATATTTTAACTGATCCCAATAAATTGGCAGTACAATATTTCCTCATTAATAAATTTATAAAAATAATGACAATATTTCTAAAATGGATTGATTTTGATCGTTGGTTAGCATTTATTATTAAGAATTTTTAAGTTATAAGGTGATATTTAATTTTAAATAAACCAAGAGTTTTAGTTAAATTCAAATAATTTTAAATATGATAATGTTTCATTTTTTTTTTTTTTTTCTACCCCCCAGGAATTTCTTGATTACAAAATACAATATATATATAAATGTTATATAAACATAAATCTTCAATTTCCTTTTATTGCCCAAGGGCATTTTAAGGTAAGAGGGCTATGCACGCTGTATGCGTACTTTGCATCTGTGACCAGAGGCCTTTTATTATACCACTGGGCGTGGAGGGACTGCCCTGTAATGTTAAAAAAAATATATTTTGCTTATTTTTAGATACTCAGTGACCTTTAGTGAGCGGGAAGGATGGAATACTTTTCATCACCTCTACTGATCACTTACGCGTTTTTAATTAAGCAATTGTTCAAAAATGCCCTTAATCTTTAGTCACAGAAAAATTACCTACCACCTCATGGGAAAACCGCAAGATAGTTTGAAATTAGCATTGATCACTAAGCACTCTGTTATTTAAAGTGAATGAGTCCGACAGGCTTCTGACTCATATATGAGTGCACCATTACCTGGGCCCGATTCCATCATTTATGAGTCCCACGTCATTAAAGGGTTAGTAATTTTGGCCCAATTCTAATATAAATCCATGTATACCATAGAATATTAAAAAATGGTATTTCAAAAAGACTTACTCTCAATTTAAAAATAAGTACCGGTTTTGAGTCTTCCCATTCTGAAGCCGAATTTATGAAGTGTATTCGCTAAACCAATAGCAGGTTCATCACCAAGCCTTCCAGCTGGCCGAAATTTCAAGCCAATATTTATTTGGCCCTTCAGGAATGTTCCGGTAGTTATTATAACAGCCTTTGAAAATATTTGGGCTCCACCTTCTGTAATACAAAAATGTTTAAAATTTCATCAGTAAAGGAAATATGAGACAAAAATCTAAGATTTAAAACAATAAAAATCTTGAAAATATAAATTAGTAGTGAAAAAGTCTAAAACTATGGTTAAATTACTAAAGAAAAACTAAGGTAAGAAGTTTCATAGTACAACACATAATTGAAGAAGATATATGTAGCCAAAAGAAATGAACACCAAATATTTTAGTCACAAAACTAAGGAAATCTTTCATAACCAAATAAATTGCTAAGTCAGTCGTACATTATTAGGATTGGTTGAGTTATTTACAATTAAGTTTGTTAAGTGTTAAAAATGATTAACTAAAATATCATTAAAAGTTTGAAATCAAGGAGATTGAAATATATAAACTAGTAGTTTCCAAACAGTGATCCATGAGAGCCTTGTGATTCGCAATCAAATAAGAGTTGACAAATAACTGAGGATTGAAAAAACAATGTTCATTGAACGAGATGTGCCGAATATATATCCAATGACTATCCAAGTTGAGGGTGAAGGTGTCCAGCATACATATAGTTCAATTTCTGCCTTAGTGGTTTGCAAACTTTTATGGGTTGGGAACTACTGATATAGATTATAAATTAACATACGTCAGAATTCAGATTAAAAAAAAAAATGAAGCATTGGCTGTTATTGGCAAAATGTTAATTCCCTTTCATCATCATCATCTTATGGTCCTTGTAGAATCTTGGCCTCCTCTACTATCTTCCTCCAAACTGACCAATCTTCGGGCGCCCTTTCCTATCTGCCTACAAGTTGGCTCCATAGATCATTTTCGACGTCTTCCAGCCAACGAAGTCTAGGCCTAACTCTTTTCCTTCTTCCACCTGGATGTTACCCCATCATAATTTGAGGGAGCCTGGCATGTTCCATTTTTTGCACATGACCCGACCATCTTATCCTTCCACTCTTTATGGTGGATTTAATGACTATGGCATTATATAGCTTCTTCAGTTCATCGTTTGTCTTCATACTACAAATATTTCCATAAATTCTACAAAGGATTTTTCTTTCCTACCTATTCAATCGCCCCTCTTCATTGAGTGTGAGCACTCACTTCCATATATAAAAATTGGTTGTCTTATATACTCTTGTTTTGAGAGCTCCTATCTACGAGTTGAAATTTTAGCATAGCCTTGGAGGTGTTTAGGCTATACTAGCTGGCAATCTATTATGATTTAATTTTCATATTTCAGATATCTTGTCAGATATAAATTTACTGCTAAATTCCATGTTTCATGCATTATCAACAGTGTTGCCCATCTATTGTTATTTATAAGGTTTGAATGACTCATTTTGGTTGGAAAGAAATAGACATTCCAGAGTGGAAAGGTTGAGATTTATAATATGAGCCAACATTAAAATAAAAGTATTCCCGAGCACACCAGTCATCATCCATCTATTATACAATTTTGATTATTACATACACAAATAGGCACTATTTAAACAAATGCTAATATCTAAGTATTGTTCTTTGTTTCAATTAATAAACTTGTTCCCTATGTACAATGTATATGCCTGATCCAATACACCTTTACATTTTCTGAGTTAAGATGTCAAGAGAGGTTTTGTTTGGAAATGCGTCTACAACACTTTTTCTTCCAATGAACCCCTGTAAAGTCAAAAATGCTAGCATGTCAGCTTAAATGAAATCACATTATATTTGTGTTTTAAAAATGTATTCTTAACTGTATAACTACAGTTTATTTACTTATATTAAAAAATATATATATATATATATTAATGTTTTCCTGATTTAAATATACAGACATCCATAATAATACTCATAGCATTTTTATAAGCTAAAGCAATAACAATCTTTTCGCTATACAAGAAGAATATAATCACAACATAAAAACTTACAACAGTCAACTCCCTATTATCTGCAATATGGATTATCCACAGTGATATGAATGATAGAATGTTTTCTTAAATGTACACAGAAAAATTGTGAAACAAAGAACATCATGTATCAGTTTAGTATTATTAGTATTCTCGTGAAGTTATGTGATGAGAAGTGTGGAGAATGATTTAAATAAAAATGAACCAACAACAAAATAGAGTGATGACGAGCTAAAAAACAAAACAAAGTGAGCGATTATTTTTAAATCTATAATTTCTGTCTTGTTATTGTTTCAAATACAATCACATATTAATTTTACACAAGTGATTAATTGTTTTAGTTTTAAATGAATTTGAAGATTTAATAATCATTATTTGCTATGAATTAATATGCTTTTACTAATTCTTCAAAATTAATTATTAGCGAGTTTCAGTTATTCACAGGAATGACAACACTCAATGCCATGGATAATCAGGAGTTGACTGTAATATGAGCTTTTCAGTTGACAGAATGACTAACTTCAATTTCAACATTTTTTATTATTAATTTTATTTAGTGATATTTCTAGTAGAAAATTTATACTTTTATTCACAGTTATTTAATTCAACACTGCAATCATCTAGTCTGGAGTCAACTTACTCACTGTCTATACAGACGTTATAAATTTTCCAACTAGAAATATCACTAAAATGACTTTACTCAAAAATGTTGAAATTGGAGTTAGCCGTTCAGTTAACCGAAAGACTCATATAGTTGGACAAAGATTATAAGAACTCATTAATCTATGGCAAAGTCTACTCTATGACTTGCAATTATGGCTAAAACAATAACTTTTTTGTTCTTTTAAGTAATATTTTGCTGTATAAGTTTTTCAGTACTAGATTTATAATATAAAAGTGTTCATATCGTACTACTAGTATTTTTTTAAATTTCTCATTTAACAGACCCTATTTAGTTCTAAGCAGATCCAATGTCCACACATCCCTCTACCCAAGTCAAGGTTTCGGAATGGTTTTACAAATTATTTATTTACTAATGAGGATAATAGAGTCAAAACACAAACATAAATAGCTGATGTTATATCAGAATTTAGCTTAAAAATTCTGCTAGTATTCATAATTAATTTATAAGCCAATATTCATAATATTAACACTATCTTACTATATTCAGTCTTATGAGTTCATATAATCAATATCCGACAGCACCTTTGAACTTATTCTGTTTATTTTGAAATATAGTGTCCACTCTCGATAATGTGACCTTTGAATCCTTTAACAACTTAATTTTAAACCTATTTTAGTTAAAATAAAAATAAATAGAAAACAAAAAGCCAAGTAGATAGAAAATAAGATAAAAACTAAGTAAATAGTCATAACAAAACAATAATTTTGTCTCTTCATTTTGATAAAAACAAATATATCTATTCCTTTATCTTGGAGAAACTAAAACTGATTACCATAACTCAGACAAAACAAAAACCAACAAATGTTCATGAGAAACTGAAAATTATGCACACAATAACGTAAATGTTGGATGAATATCTCACCGAATATCTGTGTAAAGTATATCATTTTATAAAACTACATTCATGTTTTTACTTTCACTTACATATATATTTAATATACAATTAGAGAAAGTATTGCCATCTTGAAAGTTTTCGAACTTGAGTTTTCAACGGAAATAGATGTTTTGAGGTTCTCTAAGTCCAATAACCAAGTCCCGTAAAATGGTCTGTGTGTAAGTTATTAGTCGAGCTCAAAAACAAAAAGTCGTAAGAAAGTGAAATTGTATATTTAATATTTGTATATATCTATATGCTTAAGATGTTAGAGCTACTTTTTTTTATCAAAATTGACTAACTGGAAGAGGCACTTTATAGAATCGATTAAAAACATTTTTAAGATTTTCTCAAAAATGGCTCTAACGATTTTGATTAAACTCAGTACATGAATGTATAATTAAATAGTTTTTAATATCATTTAGGTCTTGTCTCCATTGATGTCACTTTACAGGGTTTAAATGCTTAATGTTCAACATGTCCTCCTCTAAATTACCTTTAATTTGCTTAATTTTAAATAATTAACTATTCCTCATTGATATAAATAATGAAAAAGGATAAGTATAAGTTTTGAAATAATTTGGTTATTGAATAAAGGAGAAAACACGAAAAATACTTATTAAGCTCGAAAATGAAACATCGGAAATATTCAGAAGGTATGTGTATAATATATCGTTGGAAAGCGGAGAATTTTAGAAACAACAATATTTAATATAGAAAGTTGTAGAAGGTAATGGAAAGTGGCAAAAAAATTATAAATAATAATGTTTAAAAACTAATAATATTTAACGTAAATCACATGTTTCCAAGAAAATTAAATGAAATTTACTTACTAAATGTAAACTTTTAAAATATTCTTAAGTTTGAAAACATTATTTAAAATCCACCAAATCAAGGCAATGACATTGTTAAAAAAAACTATTTCATTGTACTTGTGTGAAAGAAGAAGTAAAATATAAAATCATTCCATGGATGTATAAAACATATGTTTATAATCATTTGAACATAGTTTGAAGTGATTTCTCATTCCTTTTACATTATCGAGAGTAGACTGTTCTACTTATGGCACTTCACTCAACATGTTCATTTCATCTCAGAAAATAATTTTTTTTCCCCCTCAATACAGACCTGCATTTGGAAATTTATATAATGTTAAAATTGAGTTTAATTATACACAAATTAAACTCATCATCAAAACTCACATAACATATTTTATTACTTTTGTGACTACACTATACTAATGAAAACAGTTATGTTCAAAATATGTTTGAAATGATAATTATCATCAATTGGTATAATTAATGGTAATGCAAAACTATATGTTAATAAACTAGATTGAATAAAAACTCATTGTTAATATAAGTAATTAAAGATTATTGCCATCTTGTAGGTGCTTACTTATAATAACACCACAGCATTCCTGTTTGGCAGGTTTGTTTATATACTCATATGGAGCCTGAAGAATCAAATCTTCAACAGAGGCCGAAATTATATCAAGGTTAGGAGTCTCATTGAAAAGTTCGTGTTGAAGATGCTGTTTATAGAGAGCTCGGTCAATTTGTGCCCTAGGACCCCAAACTGCTGGGCCTTTCCTTTTGTTTAACACCTAATCAAATGAAATTATAAATCGTTTTATTAAACATTCACCTATCCTGATCGCTGGGTTATCATCAACCAGGATCTCATAGTTCCTCCTCAGTGCAGAATTAATACAACACAAAAAAAAAAATATGAGCAAGACAGAATTATTTTCATTAGTCGACATTATCACAGTACTATTAAATATTTATCGAGAGAAAAAAAAAAAAAGAAATGTAAAGTTGTATACATAAGAACAAACATCACTGCCAAAGGGTTCACTGTTAACTTTCCAGTCATAAAGATTACTAATTGATAAGTTCAGTAAAAAGAAAATGGTTGTTATAATATTAAGTATAAAAAAATCAATTAGCTTGCAAGAATATTTATTTTGAAAAAAAACAAGTAAATAACTGAGAAACTTAAAATTTTAATAGGTAAATTTATATATTTATAAGTGGCAAGAATTTTCTTCTTTTCATCGTAAACCAAGATTTTTGCACATCAAAACATTTACTTTATACAAATATTGTGAAGTAAAAAGTGAACCTTTTTGCAGCATAAACAAATAATATATACCACTAAAATGAATATCAAGATATTAATTGTATGCAAGTAAAAACAAGCAACGAATACTAAATAACCAGATTAAGTTAAATAATAATAATAATAGGACCTGCAATACATATGATGTTTTGCTTTTCAATGAACTTGTTTAAACAAACGAATAACGTGTATTTTATTTATTTATATTTTTATAACAAAGCAGAGGCCATATTACACAATTGGATGTTATTTTTGCAGAAAAAACACAAGAGATTGAGGAGAGCAAATTAAATTAAAGTTGCAATCTAAGCCTAAGTCAAGGGCGTTTAATAATGAAAATGTAACATTTCTGAACAAAAAACAAAAATATCAGAGATGACATTCATGAGATTTCATGACAGACAGATCGACAGAGAAGGACTATGTGACAACAGGGTCTACAGAAGAAGATTGAACCTCCTGATGAAGAAATAATAATGTAGGCAATCTTCAAAGGAATAAAGCATCTAGTTATAATGTTTTGTACTACAAAACATTGAAGGAGAAATTGGTAAACAGAAAAATGGCTCTATCTTCGTTTAGACCGTCCATATATCCTTTCAGACCATCGGGGTTGTATTTAATCTACTAGAGGTCCAAGCAAGGAGACTGGGCATAGAAGAAAGACCAAAAGTTTCAAGTCAGAGGAAGAAACCAGATGAACAGGAGGAGAAAAGATCACAACAGGAACCTACTATTTTGAAAAGAAGATCAAAGCTGCGGTGGAAAGTGTTACAAAAAATCTGAGGTAAGTGCTTACAACAGAGGACTATTGTAGCATTCGAGAGCAAGGTGGGCTTACTGGAAAAGTAAACTAGTAACTTTAATCTAATCAAGCAACTTTAATTTAAGCTTGATCTCAGAAAAAATCAAACAGGATTCTAGGAAAGCTATAGTACCTTATCCTGTCACTAGATATCATAAGAATTCAGATAATTCAGAGACCTCTGTAACTGGACTCTCGATAAACAAAACTTCTTTTTTTAAACCATTGCATTGTTTGAATATATATAAAATGATAATGCTATTGTATTTTGTACAACACTACAATAAAATAATATTTCAAAAATTTTGTCAGGGTGAAAATTTTTCTACATAATTAATATTTAATTATATAATTTATAAAAATTGTACTTCTTCTATACACTGTAAACCTAAGTAACAATGAAATTAAAAATAACCCACAAAAAGAAAATAGTTAAATGCTTGAAATTATGGGAGCTGATTTTGATGAAAAATCATTTAGTACCACATTCTCTACTCTATCCATAATCGATTAGAATTTTACAACTTTTTGGTAATGGCTGGTGAACATTAATTCTGGTTCACCGATTTACTTCAAATTATGATCATTGTTTGAACAAAATCTTGTTGTTACCATGGTGAAAGTTTTGATATAATGAATGCTTGTTCTTCATTCAAATATTCTACAATAATTTATTGCATGATGATTTTAGGGTACAAATTTATGCACCGATACAAGAAATTGAATAGTAAATAGGGACACACAAAAATAATCGCAACAAATATATTTATACTTACAGGTCATTTTGTACAAAATCAACTTAAAATTTTGAAGTATTACAGTAGTATAAATATTTGAAACAAATAAAATAAAAATCATAAGATAAAAGAAAGTTTTAAGACAAAATATAGTTAAGAATCATAATATGTAACAAAGCGATTGGGTTCCCAATATTATTGTTCAATAAAGTTACAAAGGTACTTGAAAAAATCAAAAATTTAAAACAATTACATTTAACACATTAAATATATGTATATATTTATTTTATCATGATTAAACCATAGCCAATAACCTATTTTTTATTAAATTTTCTGCATGAAATTTATATAGAAACATAACTAGAAACGACTGAGGTTCACAGTATTTATAAGTCTCTTCAACGTGACCTACCACAAGATCTATTTTGAACAAAATCTATTTTCTTCATTGATTTACGTAACAGTCGTGTAAAACTATTTAAATAAAATCATAGCTTTAATTTTTAAAAATGAATTTATTTAAAATTACTAAATAGAACCTGATAATTATGAATAATGATAATAGGAAAAAGTAAACCAGGCTAAATGAAATTGGATGCAAAAGAAGTTGTGACCTTTCATGACTTATGGGGAATAATAGAGGGTGCCAATTAATGTTAAGTCATGACAGAATAACCACTTCATTAACAGTAGAAACCTAACAGCTTTAAAGGTTTCTGGAAAGAAAAATAAACATTTTTTCTTTAATTTCTTAATAAAAATAATGTGAACATCATTATTTTTGAAAAAAATTAAATAAAGCAGTTAAATATTTTTAATTTCTGATCTCTTGTATACTTAAATCAGACAACTGTAGTTAAATTTTATACAAAATGATCCTACTCAACTAGAATATTTTGTTATTAAAGTAGTAAATAAAAAAACCCATAAAATGAGATATTGATAATTCTTGTAAGACAGTTTACAGCATTGTTTCAAAAACTATCAACAAAAAACATATGAGGACTCAATACATGGGACTGAAGAAATCATTCTATGTCTCAACACAGCCTTGAATACTACAGTAGTTTGGCAAGAGATCACAACGGAGAACATAATCCAGATGGATAAACAAAACAAGAAAGATAAGAATAAGCTGCAAGCAGCTAAGAGTAAAACAAAAGACAAGAATTAAGAAAAACGATTCATTTTCGTTAATTAATTAATATTTAATTCATTATTAATATAATATTTAATTAATATATACAACAACTGCAGTTCCTTAGAAGTGATTTTTGAGCGAATCCCTATCTTGGTCTACTTTTTTATTTAACATCAAAAGAAAACATAAAATATCATAAAAATTATTTCAAAAGTTCTGATAAATTTAATCATGAAAATTATATTTTTCCAAATACGATGTTGCTTGCATAGCAGATTTCTGATAATTACCATCAAAAACTATTAAAAATAGTCGAATTGCAATAACAAATAAATTAAATATAAATTGACAATTATATACTATTGAAATAGTAAGAAATTAAAAGCTTATCAAGAGGTTAATGCTTTACTACAGAACTACTTTGTTTAAAAATTTAAAAGATAAAGTTAATGGACTTGAAAATCAGTATATTAATGACAAAAAAAATTTTACCTTGACACTGATATTTATGTTTTAAAGACTTACTTTGTACTGAATTCCTGATTTGTCACAAATTTTTCCACATAAACCATCCAATGCATCAATTTCTTTCATTAAATGTCCTTTTCCTATACCTCCAAATGATGGATTGCATGACATTTCCCCTAAAATTAAATAGTAAATAAATTAAAAAATAGTAAACAAAAAGAAATTTATATACTGTCATCATTTATTAATATATATAAAATAAAATAAAGCTAATAATCCTAAAACATTATCACAATCAAAGAGAAAAGCATATGATCAGAAATGAACATACCTATAGTATCTTTCTTATGTGTTATGAGCAATGTTCGACAACCCATTCTAGCAGCAGCTGCGCATGCTTCGGTTCCAGCATGCCCTCCTCCAACAACAATAACATCAAAATTTGTGTAATGCAGACAATAATTCCTTGAAAAATTCTGAGATATGTTTGTCAATTGTCTTCCACAGCAGGAAAATAGCTTATTCTTGATTAATAACATATTGTATTATAAATTAAACAACTAGTACACTTAATATGCTGAGATCTTTAACAGGTAAGTTTTCTAGATCACAAATCTACCAACATATCACCTGCACAATAAAAAAATTGAGTAAGATTAAAAGGTCAGGGCTTTCAGGAAGTATTGAAGAAACAATAGAAACTATCACAGAGTAAATATTACAAAACAATTATTTAAGACAAGAGAAACATGTTTACAGGAACAACTTACGAATAAGCAGTCTTTTGGTATCCAAAACAAATCATAAATTTAGAAATTCTAAACTTAGAAAGTAAAATTTCAACTGTGTTGACTACCCCTCCCATTTAGCAATACTGACCCACTGTTATCTGTCGATAAACACTATCAACAAGTCAGACACAAATGCGTAAGAGGTTACATTTTTCAACTTGAATTAATTTATATTTAATGTTAAACCCAATAGAGGATGTTATTAAATAAAACAGAAGTATTTTGGAGCATAAAGTGAAGTATTTGAAATTTAAAAGGCACTGAGAACCAGTTGATTCGACAGTTGACGTCAAGAGGTATTTGAAGCGCTGAAACCTACCAAACATAACCTGTGTAAATAGTGGCAGGGGAGTTTTCCGAAAGTTTTCCTTCTTAATATCGATACTTTTTGTGATTGTGCTTTTTCCTGCTCTTCGAGAGAACGGGACAGTTGGTAAGTCAGTTCTTCTGTATAATTCTCGATAGAAATAAAATAATTCGTATGTGGCTGCTTGTTCTGTAATTAAGTTTACCTTGACTATTATAAACCAGTTTCTCTGTACCTTTTATTTGAAGTTCTGAACATATTTTAGATGAAAACGATTATATTCAGACCCTGTAAATGAATCGCAAGTTAAGTATTAGGCAAGTCAATTGTTTTGAACTTGATTGATGATGTTCTGATATGACAAATAAATATTTTTTTCAACGGGTAGAGATATTTTAGATAAAAATATAGGCTTTTATTTCTCTAGAGAATTAAAAAAAAAAATTCATAATTAATCCAAAGTTGGTGATATTACTTTATTGGAATTCCGATTATTTTTATTAGGTTTGTGGTACCAATTTGAGTTTCTTGTTACTTACAAAAATATTTTGTGATTCCTTGGTCCAATTAGATTATTCCTAAAGGGGATGGATGCTCCCTGTCAGTCCTGTGTATCAATACTAACTGAAGCAGGAAGTCGAGTTAAACTGAAGAGGAGAGTGTTGTCATCCCCATTTATCACTTCTCATTTTATCTCAGTATGGTGGGGATCACTATTAATTTTTTTTTTATTGTTCTATCTATTAACTGTAAATGGTTTGTCGTCTTATTGGCACCACCGTTTTGAAGACTAGAATATTATTTTATTTTAATTTATGAACTATATCGTTCCTCTGTAATTGTACAATGTAAACATCATATGACGTTTATTTGTTATCAATAGCTATTGATAAAAACGATGTTTTCAAATCTGTACCATTGTAATTATTGGCATAATTCTTTTACTTAATTATTTTACGTAACTGGAACCGATTATAATTATTTTATTCTTACAGTAATATTCTTAATAAGACGTTTTATAAGTAATTGGATTAACACTTTCTCTATGCATATTAAAACAATCGCTTCATTCTCTGTCTTCTCATCATGTATTATTTCCCACTTTTACATCCGTTAGATTTCATTCTCATTCATTTCTTTGTAAAAAAAAAATAAATAAAAAATTTCCTACACTGATGACAATTGCGAAATTAAATTAATATCTTATTAGAACTAGAAAATAATACACCTTATTTATTTTTATAAATGATTGTGGACTAGTTTTTACTATTGAAAGTATTTGGAATTCAAAATTATTTTTACATCTTTATTTTTAACATTACATAACTTTTTTTATGAAAAGTATTAAAATATGCTGGATGATATAGGAAATAAATGAGTATATTCATCGTTTATTAAGCTAATAAGTTATTACACCGTAACAATGACCGAAAAACATAGGTTTATACAAAAAAATTAATTACTAATATAGAATTACTATTTTATTTACTTAGGTTTTGACATTTTCCACAGAGATATTTTCAGTTATTAACTTTTTCTGACCAATTGTCAATTTGTAAATATTGTCATTTAAGTAATAGAGTTTTATTTAATGAAAGAATATTTGCATGATTTATAGATATAAAAAAATATATAATTGGTAGTTGTAATAAGGCTTATACCATACTCATATATGTAGATTAAAACGTATATTAAGTCTGTTGGCAACCGTGTCTTTTTGTAGCTGGATCTGGCAACAGTGTCTTGTACTAATCAAGTTGAGATTTACAGATGGTGGTAACGTTTTATTCTAATGTAAATCGATTTCACTTAAATGATTTAATTATTTCTCTACGGGAACATCTATAAACGCTTTTATTTCAGTGTGTATAAGTTTCGTGTTCGAATCTAGTTAAAACCTTTACAGTTAGTAAATCAAAATAGAAAATGAATTTGAGATTTGAAATAAGAGGTAATATGGCGGTATAATTTTCATCAGAGGATCATTTAATTTTTTTACTTTCACTTATTTCTTTTTAAATTTATATCTGCCGATTAAATAAATGACTGTCTCTTTGATATTTTCTGTTAATATCTTATATTTTAAAATTGTTATATACTAATATCTTGTTGTTGATGTGAAAAGACAATATTAAAAATTAATTTATTTTACTATGAAATAATTATTTATTAAAATAGATTTTGGATTTCACTTTATGTACTAGATAAATTAACATTGTAATATCAACAATTGATATTAAAATTATAATTATATTTAGGTTTCATTTAAGATACAGATAAACCAAATGAATTGATTTTTTTGGTTTTCCATTACTGTAAATACGTTAATAACATCTTAGTATGTCATTTTAATTGACATGATATAGAACAAGTAATACAATGACTTCCTCTGATGAAAATTCGTGTTCGGAAAAAAATAGTGAAAATCTAGAATATTCTATTTCTCGATTCAAGATGGCGCCAGTTTACGTGAGGTAAGATTTTTTAATATTACAATATTACCTAATTTTAATTTATTTTTACAACATAAATGTTTTTCTTGTTTTTTTTTTTTAAATCTTAAAACTGCAAGATGATAGGTACAAATAATAATACCCGGGAATACTTCATATATTCCTTTCAAAATATATATTACATCTAAAATAAAATATACCTTCCGTTTATAACGGATGTATGCTTGTCACCGATTACTGTGGCTGTAACGGTTACTATAACTCAGTGTTCCTAAAGCATTCATTTTAAAATATGCATTGTTACCTTATTCCTGAAATGAATTTATTTTCTTCGATTGGAACAGGTCTCAGTTCCCAGAATATGAGACAAATAAAAGAGAAACAAACTTTAATGATCTGAAGAGAAAAAAACTTTATTGAGCTCATTATTATCAACGTTCCACAAGGTTGTATCGCTTCTTCGACGAAACTTTTTGGCTTTGAAATATAAAATCAAGAAATATGAATTTTGCTTCGTTTTCAGTTTGGAAAATCATGTTTTTTAAAAAGCCGTCAAAATGGTAGTCAGTTCGAGATTAGTCTGGTAAATTTCGTTGATGTGGTAAATTTTAAATTTTCAAATAACTTAACATTAAAAAATTGTTAGAAAAATTGGTTATTTATTTAAGCTACCGAGAAAACATGTTTCTGAATAATCAAGCATTACATTAAAGATAAATTCGATCTTAGCAAATATTTTTGTTGTTAAAATGGATATTCTTAAAAAGGAATATTCTTATTAAGATAGGCAAAATATTTTCATAATTTAAAAAGAGAATGTTTATTTTAAAATATATAGAAAATAAATTAAATTCTGGAATCCTTGATGTTATTTGCTAGCACTTAGCTTTCTAATATAATCTCGTAAATTGAGTGATTCCTCACTACTTGTCCTTAAAATTATCAAGTAAGATATTACTTGATAATTTTAAGGACGAGTTTCTAATATTCCTCAGTGGGATAATAATATTTGCTAAAGCATTGCTTTGTTGAAAGCAAATCTATTTTTAAATCTTAAATTAAATTATGATGTAATTAATAGAATAAATGGAAATAGGTAACTAAATATTTTATTTTTCGACTTGTCGTTCAATATGCTTCTGAATTCAAGAGATGTGAAAACAGAAACACCTTTCGGTTAAAGACATGTTTTTCTCGGTATTTACTCTAATAACAAGGTCATTGTGGCAAAGGATTCAATTATTAAATTGTCAACGAAGTCGTCAACTGAATTATAATCAAGGTTCCTGTTTATGATTTAAATACAAAATTTTTTTGCGATGAGACAACTTTATCGACTGTATTTTTTCACAACAACCATTAGCCAATATTCATTGGCCAAAAAAAAAAAAAAATAAGAAGGTTTTTTTAAAATATCTTTAGGTAGATCGGAACGCTTTGGAATCTACATTTGTTCTTGAAAAAGTAATGCTCTGTAAATACCAACTGTTCAAGAGTCTTGAGAAAAAAATATTTTTACTATCATAGCCAACCCCCTCACCTCTAAAAAATAACAATAAAATATTTTAATATTTGTGATTCTCTTTAAATACTGTTAAGGTCTTAATACAATGCGATATGATTGGTATTTTTTACGGAATTTAATTTCACAGATTACCTGAAGGGATTCATCTTTTTTTTTTACTCCAAATTTTTAGTTTCATGGTTCAATTGCTGGCTAATTATGTACATGCTGCTAAATTCAGCGCTGTGTTCATCGATTTGTCTCTAATTATTTGTACGGAATTTACTTGGGTCAGGGGTAAAGGCAGGGAATTAATGCCATAGTTACACTGTGACTAGAACTCGTAATCTTCAGGTCATCAGGTTGCTCTCAAAGTAAGCAGAAAATATGAAAATTTATAAAAAAATATACGTTGAACAAAGGAACGACTCATTATTTCACAGCTATCCTTAGTGGAAATTCTCTAAAATTCTTTTGAATTATAATGTTTTTGCTAAATAACTATTCTAAAATATATTTTTTTAATATTTATCCTCATAATTATAAATAAAAGTTGAAATGTGATAGCCAAACGGTATTTTCGAGAGGTTGCTATAGGTCGAAGGGAAAGGCGTGTGTGCAGTCGTGAGGTCGAAACTATTATACGACTGTAAAAATTCTCTTCTGCACATCCATCCACTAAAAGGTCACATTATATTACCGACACCAGTGAGTTTTATTCTGCGTTCAGTTTTTAAGATTTGATTTTCGTTTTTGAATTCAAAATCTTAGCACGGATAGCATCTGACAAGAAATATTTAAGGAGAATAATAAATAAAATAACCCTAAAATATTTATCGGAAAATCTCTACGTTATTAAAA